GCAAAAAATTAAATACCCACGGAGCAGCTATATATAGGGAAATGTCTTCCAAAAATTAGGAATGTTGGCTTGAAGAAAGGTATCTCAGGATTAAAAAATTAAATGAATTATTTTAGCATGCAAACATTTTTCTGAATTGTTAGTTGGCAGAAAAGAAACTTTTATTTTTTCATCCAATAATTTTAATTCTGAAATTGTCTTTGCAAAATCTTGGATGAAGATAAAAGTCTTCATTGCTACTTTTCAAAAATTCATTTACTGCAACCCTGAATATTATACATTCATCGGGAATACTTGAATAATTTAAAAGTTACATTTTACTCTGCGTCAGTGCTTTGTTGTCCCTTGTCAGATTCTTGAATGGATGAACGTAATTTTTATTTACAAGGTGCAGTAATATTTAATCATACGACGATTGTTCCAATTTTTGATCGTCCAAGTTCCAAATTGCCGAAAAATGCTCGAGTTTGGTGGTACAGCATTTAAACTTCCGAAACCGAATAAGACAAAGGTATCTATGCTGATGTTCAATCAAAAATATTGATGACTTTGCTCTTGTACTTAAGTACTCTACCTCGCACACATTTTTTTATTTCAAGAGAGAAAAGAGAGGATGCAAAGCATAGGCGGTTATAACATCTGTCTTTAATTTTAGGAGATTTGGTTCGCATCACACTTGATTTCAACAGAGAATTTAAACAATTTTCACCATTGACATTCATTGACATTCACTTCGAAAACAATTTCAAGTCAATTAATGATTTAGTCAATTAATTACTTATTCAGATGTATCTTATTTTTAAAATATTGTAATTTCCAGTGTCTAAAATAAGGCGCATTTATTAATTGAGGATACATTTTTATTCAAAATTTAAGCTAAAAAATGTTAGCGTGCCTCAAATTCAAAAGCTAGTGGGACTCAAGTAAAAACAAAACTTTCTTATTTCTTATGCCTAACTTCCATTGCAGTACAGCATATATGAGGAATTAAAAAAGCTACATTTTTCCCTAATTAAATATGAATAAGCTGTGATAAATCATGCAATCGATGCTAGAAGAATTATAGTGAACAACGTAGCAGCAGCAGACAGCATGGATCGTGTTCGCAAACTTTTTGTTGAAGACGTTGATGAGGGGCGACCCCCTGCGGATGGCGATGGCATTGTAGAAAGTGATGTCCTTCTTTGACTGCACACGAACCTGGTCGAAAAGCCCGACTGTCATCAGATCACTTCTTAGAGACAGGCGGTCGTTTATATACGCCCGATGGGGTGTTTCTAAAGCCCATAGAAGACCCGCGTCGCTGGGAATGCTTTTCACATTGTCCTTCACGATACGTTGCCATAACAGCTGGTAAGCTGGGGTTGACGTTTTCTGCCATAAAAAAAAAAAAGAGCACACCAAAGTTTCACAGAAAGACCTTGCTTCATATATATTGGACAATATCCTTGGTGCTGAAGAGCCTCTTTATCCAGAATTAAATTTGTATGCAGCAGTATATGGCCCCGACATACAAATGCCCCAACGTATGAAAGATTCAACTGAAGGAAACACACATAAAAAAAATCAATCCAGACAATGTGTATACAAATATGGATACTTTGCCAACATTTCTAGAAAAATTCAAAAAAATTGTTTTACGAAATGTTGATATCTTATGAACAAATTGAGTCATTTTTACTCGCAAAATTTCAAAAATAGGTTTGCTATAATTTTATTGTGATTCATAATTCAAACATGCCAATTCTTTACTTTTTTTTCAGAGTTTTCCACTCAATTCTTGTACAGTCCTGTAAAGTAAAACTGGATCTTTTTCTTCG